CGCCTGTAATGCGGGCGGTCAGCCGATCGGGCACATAAAACGCATAAAATTAAATAAAAATCGTATAAAAAATCCTTTTAAGCACGCAACGTTTCTCGCCAACTTTCCCAGCCTCTTACACACCCTTCGCTCGCTCTCTCACTCTGAGGCTGCCCCTCACTCTGTGTCTATCTTTCTTGCTGTCGCCCGTAAAGGCTTTTGGGACTTTCGTCGATGCAGCAGCTCAATAAAAAGCAAAGAAAAAAGAGAAGAGAAGAAAAACCGCAAATTTGCTCAAGATTTTCCAGACCACACGTTGTGGCCAATGCCTCCGCTTACGCCCGTACCCTTCTCCGTCTTGGGCAATGTCTTGGATTTTTGTTTGTTTCTGCTGCTGCTGTTGTTGTTGTTGCTGCTGTTTCGGTATGTTGTTTTCAAGCAATGTCTGCTTTAGTTTAACTTTGGAATATTATCGTTCGTAACCTTTTTTTGTGAGCTTGACAGACGTAAAGCGGATTATACTTAAGAGATTTCTCCTTACTTATTTTCCCTTATTTTCTTTATGCTTTCTTCATTCATTCGGTGCGGTTTTCTTTTTCATTTTTTGCTCCCGTTTTGCAGCCACATCAATTTATGAAATTGCTTATAAACACACAAAAAGCTATTAAACCTATTTAAATGAGAGCTATTTTCGTTAAATCTGCTCTCTGATCCGCTGAAATATTTACAATCCAAAATTATACAAAATTGAATTTAACATGAAATTCATAAATAAATGCAATTTATATCGTTTTATTGCTGATTTGCAGCAATATTCAATGCAATTTACGCTGCCTCAACGGGTTCTATTCGATTTCTCTCCCCACTCGCTCTCACTCTCTCTCTTACCTACGTAAATTCCATTAGTCTGAAAATTCTTGATAAACTCGATGTCGGTGCTGACGGCTTCCTAGCGTGTTGCAACTTTGCATCCGCTGCCTTTCTTCTCGCATCAGAAAAAACCGCGCCCAAGCATCGCAAGTTTGCTGCGTCAAGTCGGCTTCCGGCCGTTGAAATTTGATTTATTTTCGCTCGAATTGTTTATTTTCTGCCTGCGAGTTAGAGTCGAGCTCTTGACTCGATTGAGCTGTGAGCATTTGCATAGCGCGGGGCTTATGAAAATGTCCTTAAAGGACTCGCTCTGCCGATATGTGTGTTCGATGGCCGCGCTTCGGCCTTTAACTACACTCGAGGCCTGCTGGCATCGGGCGTACGGGGCGGTTGCGCAATTTTTGCACATTTATCTTCATTTCGCGCATTGTTTTCTTTCGCATTTGTTCATCGAGCTTTTACGCTGCCCTTTTTACGCGCTTTCCGTTAATGTGTCCTGCGGTTGTTTACGATTTCATGCCACCTTTTGCCAGCACGCCCACCGCCCCTTGCTGATGTCCCTGTCATCCACATGCTATACGGTCTCTGATCTGATTTCCGTTTCCGCTCACACACACGCACACGCACACAGTTTTGGCAAGTGCTTAATGCCTCCCGCTGTCTTTTGCCGAGTGTCGCCTGCTGAACACAGTATATTGTAGTTTTTGTTCCGGAGTGGAGAGAAGAGTATAAACAAGACTAAGAAATACCCTAGATTAATTATAGATAAATAGAAAAATTTAGAATTAATTTATAAAATTTATTAATGTTAAAGAAAAGTATTTTTTTTAATTTTTTTTTTTTCGTATTCCATTGAAATATATTATATAATTTTTGACACTACTCTCGCTGGACCTCATATACCCACTGCTTTCGGCTTTCCTTTTTTTTAGGCTTTTTATGCTACACGTGTGTGTGTGTGTGTGTGTGTGTGTGGGGCCATTTAAATGTGAGCATAAAGCATGAAGCGTTCAGCAGGAGGCTTTGCGGCACTTATTTTCAATTTAAGAAATGCAAATATACACATAAGCAGATTATGCTGATGAGCGCCAGCTTAGTTATGCCAAATGCATGCGCTTATGTGCGAGCGGTGTAAACAATTTAATTTCCTGTTCCCATTCAAATGCCAGTTTTTTTTTTTCGCTCGAGTCGAAATTACAAATAACTGCCGAATGACGATCAAACAGAAATTCTACATCAGTAATTTGCTAATATTTGAAGTTGACTTTTACCTCTGGGGGACTTGCTTTGGTAATCTACAATACAAGCGAATTCCATTGCCTACTTATGGGGGCTAAAGTTTAAACAGCTGTCAAAGTCAATGGCAAACTTGGCCGTCTGCATTTGCTGTTTGTTATTGTCAGGTTTTTGCTGCTGCCTGTTTTTTTGCTCATATTGATAAATAATTCATAAATTGGGCGTGTGAGGGAGACAGATGGAGAGAAGGAGTGGATGGCAGCATACACATACAGTTACATGTGTCCTCAATGCTATGCCGTATTGAACCAAATATAAACGCATTAAAATAAATCCGCAAAATTCTGTCACACACACGTACACACTCGCACACACACACACACGCACAGCTTGTCAACGCCATACAAGCCACAGGGACAGAGAAACAGGCGACATGCGACCGCATTTCAAATTAGCACACACCAAAAGGATTTCTCTCTTTATATATATATATATATATATTTTTTTTTTTTATCCCGAACACACGCTTACTCACACATTATATATACATGTATTTCGTATTTAAAGCCACCAAAAAAAAATTTATATAAAAAAGCCGCCACAAGGCGCATAAATACAAATATGTATAATGCAATATAATAAACGTCAGAAGCAGTCCACAAAAAAAAAAAAAAAAAAAAAAAAAAGAAAGAAAGAAGCAAAAGAGAAGAGCAGAGAAGAAAACAAGAAAACACCCATCCAACTGTGCATTGAAGGGTAAAATCTTAACCAGGCCAACATGCACACACCCACACGCACACAGAGACACACGCACACACCCACACACACACACAGACACCGCTGATGGCTGGATGCTGCGTTATCGTGGTGATAACCCTTTTTAACTTTTTGGCTTACACTTCGTGGCGAGCGTTGCCAAAACTGAAGTGTGCACAAATACATGCACGCATACACAACCAGAAACACACACACACAGATACACACACATATTTGTATACCAGCAGTTTGCATACTTGGTGCGAGTTGAAGAAGCTAAGCAACTTTAATCCCATTTAGCCAACACAACACTGTCAGTCAAAGTGATAGACAAACACACACACACACCCACGCACACACATATGTACATGCATATTTACTATTATATTTAGCTAAACTGCCAAAAAGAGCGCATCGAATTTTACAAGTTTTCATTAAAAAGTTCGCAGAGCCCATTAAAGAATATTTAAGTCTCTAGGCAAATAGATTTAAGCTGTTGGCAGCAACAGCATTATATTTATAGTTGATTTTAATTATTGATAAACTGATATACTTTGAAAATACCAAAGAAACTATGCATATTAACATAGTGTCAGTCAACTTGACTTCTTTGAAAAGACAATCAGAATTTAATATGAAAAACCTTTGTGAAATTCTTAAAAATATAAGAGAAGAAGCAGAAATTCGGCTATAGATAAATATGCGGCAATCATAAATACTATATACTATAATAAATATAAAAAGCTAAGAATTATTATTATTATTATTATTATTACTATTTTTTTAAAATATTTTTTATACAATTTTAGATTTAAATCATAATTTATCATAATTAAATCAATTTAGATTTAAATCATAATTAATGATAATAAATAATAATAAATAATAATATAATAATAATAACGATAATAAATAATAAGCAGACATTATTACTTTTTTATTTAGTTATTTATTATTTTATTGTTATAATTAAAGCTACATGCTCATAATAAAATATATACAAAATATACCATATCTTAAATATCTATAAATATATAAATATAAATAAATAAATATAAAGTTACCATCATTTTAACAGCTAGAAATTATGAGTAAAAATTACATTTTTTATAATCCCCATAACAGAAAACTCTCAAAAAAAAAAAAAATAAAATAAACATTTAAAGTTAATTCATTAAATCAAATACCTTTTTATATGCAGTATATTTTCGAAAAATAAATTTATGTACATATATGCGTTTCATATATTCAGCTTTCGCATATATTAACATCAATAATGATCCCTGTAATTAACCAACTACAGGGCATTGTTATGACAACCATTTTGGGGCTTAGCTATTATGTTTTGGGCTCATAAATGATAGCCTAATTAGAGTGGCACAAAACTTTGCTAAGAGGATATTGCAAATTGTTAAAGCTTCAACTAATTTTCAGTTTTAACAGAGAATGAGTTGAAAAACATATTAAATAACAAAAGCAACCTGAAGCCCAAAACAGACAATTTAAGCTGTTGAACAGCAACACGTTTTAGGGGTTGGTCTCACCCCCGACGGGCTGCGGCCGCATCAATGAACCCAAAAACAAAAGCTGATGTTCATTAATTCGATGCTGAATGGAGGCGGCAGTTGGGGCCATAAGGAATACGAGGGATTTTATGCATATAGATAGAGACCTAATGAAGCTAATCATAACTAATTTCCTCGGCCCTTTGCTATCCTAGAACAAGCAGAAAAGAAGTCCCCCATATGAAGGAAATTTCAATCAACAGAATTTTAAGCTATTCGAAAATACCACAAAATTAATAAATATATATATTTTTTTTAATTAATAATTTACTATAAATATATTAAAAATATTTTTATTTATAATATATCACAAAATTAATTATTATATATTTTTTAAAATTATTAATTTACTATAAATATATTAAAAATATTTATATATATAATATATCAATATTATTGTTTATTAATTAATTAATTAATTTTATTTTATTTTTAAATTAATAAAAAATATATATTTAATGGAGTCCAGTTCCTTCTCGTATACACACGCATATATTATGTAGTTCCCAATGAACTGTCATGGCAGGTAGGCTACTACTCCACAATCATTCGCTCGAAATATGCTCCAGAAAGCATCTCGATTGTGACAGATACTCGATAAAAATACAAACAATACACATTAATACTAATAATCCGAAGGAAATTCACACTCGCCACTTGCACGCTTGTTCGTGGTATTCAATCCAAAAGTAGTTCACAATGCCCATTCCCACGATGGACAAGGCCTGTTTGGCGCCGCCGGGCCACGTTAGGTTCTTAGACAATCGTCGGGAAGTGCCAGGGAAACGCAAGATATTTCCGGTAGTGGTGACGGCGAAACGCTTCGAGGCCATTATGGGCAGGTCTCGCATGGATAAAAAGCATGCAGCTGCGGCACAGAAGGAGGAGGATGAGCGCTATATGAAGTACCTGCAGGAGGGCAGCGACTGGCTCTGTAAGCACTTTACAAACGTTGGGGCCCAGTCGCTGGATGAGGAGAAGCAAGCGAAACTTGACCAGGAGCTGAGGGAGGGCGAGATCAGGGCGAAGCAAGTGAAGATGGAGGACGATCTGAACCGCAAAAAGCGCATAATAAGAGCCAACCGGATTTTGGAGGACCTGAAGGCGGGCCAGCGGGCATTGCACCACGCCGTGGTCGAGAGTCAGGTGGTGCATGAGCGGCAGTACAACGAGGCCGTCAATCGCGAGATCGCCGAGGATGCCAGGCGAGAAATAGCCAGGCAGGACGCGATCTGCCCGGAGACCCTAATTCCCTTCAGCACCATCACGGAGGAGGAGGTGAAAGCTGAGGAGGCCGCGCGGGCGATTCGAGTGCGGGAGGAGTTCCTCAAGGATCTGGCGGAGAGACGTGAAAGGAAATTGGCCCAAGAGGAGCAGGAGCTCTGCGACACGCTGATCGAGCGCGCCCAGTACCAATGCCTGTACGAAAAGGAGAAGAAGGAGCAGGCCGAGCGGAAGGCGAAGAAGCGCGAGTTCTGCCGGCGTGCCTATCGAGATGCGCTGAAGGAGAAAGCCAGGATCCGAGAATGTAAGCAAATAGCTCTCAGCTGGCTCCAGGTTAGCTTCTTTAACCACTGCCCTCTCCCCACCGCTAGACGAGCGCATTCGCGAACAGATCAACGATCGGGTCATTTGCGTCGATGTGACCCGGCGCCGCAATCTGGACAAGCGCTACAACGTGGAGTATAAGAAAGCAATAGCGGCGAAGATCAAGGAGCGGGCAAAAGTGGCCCAAGAGCTCGGCGAGATGATGAGGGAGAACGAGTGCAGGGAGAAGGCATACCAGACGGAACTGGTCGATCGCTACCAGGCCGAGGTCGAAATGGACGAGGGACGGCGTCAGTGCGAGAAGGACGAGCTCGCCCGCCAGCGTCGCGCCTACGAGCGTGAGGACCGCCTCCAGGCCGAGGCACGGCGTCAGCGCGAGGCGCAGATCCATCGCTTCGAGGTCGCTGAGCGCTTCAAGAACATGGAGACGAACAGACGATTCTACGCGAGCGAGAAACGAAAGCGGGATCAGGCCACGGCCAATCTGCGGAAGGTGCTCTTTGGGCAGCGGGACGAGTTCCTGGCGCGTCGCATGGCGGAGAAAATGCGTGTGTCGTCGTGCCAGGCGGATCCGTACATCAAGGACGACGTGATATTCTTCGACGATGCGGCCAAGGCCGTTGTGGAGGCCTACGAGGAGGGAAAGATCATGTATCCGATGGCCAAGGCTGCTGAGATTTATCGCCGTCAGAACCAGATCGGCCACGTGCCCGAGGGCCGGATGGTGGGCCGGAGCAAGCTGCGTGACTATTGCTGGCCCGGCTACCACTCCAAGGCGGACCTCGCCTACAAAAACTACGAGGCACGCGAGCAATGCCGCCAGGAGCTGGACACGGAGCGCCAGAAGATCCTCGACAATTGCATTACAATCACAAAGCTGGCGTCCAAGGAGCGACCGTACCAGAAATGCGAAATGGAATGCCCCCAGAAGTGCTTCCAGTATCGCGGCATGCCCGCAATTCAGAGCATGGACTCCTTCGACTCGCCGAGCAATTTCATGTGCGAGGAGGAGCCCGTGACTCAGGGTGGCCCCTGTCCAGCCAATATTGAGGTGATGACGAGCTGCGACGAGAAGGAGGCGCAAACCAGACCCAAAAACTTCAACAATCCGCCGCCCGTCTGTGTGGCGAGAGTGCCCTCAGTGCAGTCGGCTGACCAAAAGACTCTATCGCGCCTCGCCTCCGAGTACAAGCCGCCGCCCGAGCCTGACTGCAAAGACGCCAAGCAGAAGGCTCCGCTGCGCAAGAGAGTTTGGCGCTAATACGATTTCCACGATTGCGACACATACGAAGATTAACTAGAGTGCTACTGATCATGTCTATGATCATGATTAGGCTCATGATTATGATTGTATAGCTTGACTTATACATACATACATACATATATCACAATTTCCAATCGATCAACGCGATTGCCAATAGCTTTGCATATTTCTATATTTCTATGTATGTGTATGTATGTATATGTATATGTGTATATATATGTATGTGGATACGTAGATACATATGTATGAGTATGTATATATACAAATGTATATGTACATATGTGCATATGCATATCTATGTATATGTGCGCATCTATGCATTGTAAGTGAATGAAATAAAGGATATAGATAGGAGATAAGTTCAAGGAGTTTTTATTTGACTGCTGCAAAATATAATATAAAAAATAATTAAATAAAAATAAATAAATAATAAAAAAACAATCTATTAAGCTCCTTTCTCATGCCTCAATTTATATAATCTTAAACTCTTAAAGGTCTGCAAATGGTTCGATCAACAAGAATTGAATGCAGAAACGAATCTACTAAAAAAAAAAATAAATAAATAAATAAAAATTAAATAACAAAAATATAAACAAGATTTATATACAAAAATCAACTACTTACTTTATAAGTAGCGAATACGTGGTCTAAAAATATTCCTTAAAAAAGAAGAAAAATGTATGAGTTTTCCATTTCATACTTAACCAAGTATGCCTGGCTCCAAACATGAGCTACTACTCTAGCCTACGGGGCTGACTATACATTAAACACACACAATCCAACAAAAAACAGACACTAACAAATACAGACACACGCAACACAATACGTACACGCGCACACTCCGGGGCAAACACTTGGACAACACTTTGCAGTAGATTCGTTAGATAGATTCGTTAGTTAGTAGATAAGAATAGTTAAAAGATAGGAAGAGCTAGAGATACGATAGACTGCAACGATGTCGAGCAGGAGGTTCAATAAGGCGTGCTTGGCGTCGCCCGGGCACACGAGGTACCTGGACAACCGGAAGGTGATACCAACTGTGCTGACGGCCAAGCGGCTGAGCGAGATCATAGCCAGGGCAACCATGCAGAAGAGGCGGGACTTTGTGGCCGCTGAGCAGGAGGAGCAGCGGTACATGCAATATCTCCAAGATGGCAATGAAGCTCTATGCAGGCGATTCAAGAAGATTCACCTGTCCTTGGACGAGGAGAAGCAGGCCAAGCTGGACCAGGAGGTAAAGGATGCGGCCATTCTCGACAAACAGGTGAAGCTGGAGGACGAACAGATGCGCAAGGAGCGCATCTATAGGGCCAATCGCATACTCGAAAACATGAAGCCGGGCCAAGTGGCACTGAAAAGCGCTCGCCTGCAGAGCGAAGTGATCTTCCAGCGGAAATACAACAAGGCCGTCAATCGTCGAATTGCCGAAGAGGCGAAGCAGCAGCAGGAGCTCAACGAGAAGCTGTGCCCGGAGATCTGCATTCCGTACAGCGTGCTCGGTGTAGAGGAGGAGAAGCTGGAGAGGAAGGCAAAGGCGCTCGAGTACGGCCAGGAGCTAGCAAGGGAGGTCGAGGAGCGGCGCCTGCGCAAGCTGGACGAGAAGGAGCAAGAGAACTTCGATGGCATTGTGGAGCGGGCGCAGTACCAGTGCCTGCACGAGCTGGAGAAGAAGGCGGCCAAGGAACGCGCCCAGAAAAGTCGCGAGTTCCGCGTGCGCTCCTATCGAGATGGCCTCAAGGAAAAGGCGGAGGTCGAAAAATGTAAGTTCAGAGTGAGAGAGAGTTAGAGAGAGAGAGAGATAGATATTAAATCCAAATAAAATCTGAAACCTCATCAACCACAGACGCAAACATTTGCGAGGAAATTGGGGATCGAATAGTCTGCGTGGACACTGTGAAGAAGCGTCGTCTCAACACGGATGCGGCCAAGGGCATCAAGCAGCAGATGGCCGAGCGGATCCAGAGGAAGGAGCAGCTCGCGATTGAGCTGTGCCGCCAGCAGCAGGCGCAGAGGCGCCGGGCCGAGGAGCTGGAGCAGCAGGTGGTGGACCGGTTTGAGGAGGATATGCTGGTGGAGCAGGCACGCCGCGAGTGCAGGCTGCAGGAGCTGGCCAAGGAGCGGCGTGCCTACGAGCTGGAGCAGCAGCAGCAGCAGGAGCTGCGACGCAAGCAGGCGGCGGAGATTCGTCGCTTCCAGGTGGCCGAGCGACTCAAGAATAGCCAGGTGAATCAGCGCTTCCAGTGGTGCCAGAAGGCCAAGAAGCACGACGATAGCGTCAAGCTGCGACGCATGCTGTGCGACCAGCAGGACGAGTTCCTGGCACGGCGCCAGGAGGAGCAGGTGCGCTTCTCCTCCTGCCAGGCCGATGCCTATCTGCCCGACGACGTGCAGTTCTTCAGCGATGCGCTCGACTCGATGGAGGCGGCCAAGAAGTCGGGTCGACCCGTTCTGCCCATAGCCCGGGCAGTGGAGACCTATCGACGCGAGAATCAAATCGAGTTGCCCAATACCCGGATGATGGCCCGCAAGAAGATACGCGACTATTGCTGGCCCGGCTACTACTCGAAGGCCGAGCTGGCGTTCAAGAACTACGAGCACCGCAACAAGTGCCTCGACGAGCAGCAGCATGAGCGCAGAGAGATGCTCGAGAAGTCCGCCGAAATCATGAAGATGGCCGCCGAAGAGAAGCCGTACAAGAAGTGCGACAAGGAGACGCCCCTGAAGCTGATCCAGCATCGCGGCCTGCCCGCCCTCGAGAGTGTGGACTCCTTCGACTACGGCAGTAATCTCTGCCTGGCTGATGATGCTCTGCCAGCTCACCTCAATTCCGCAATCAATCTAATCCAATTGGAGTCCAACAGCAACTCTCCGATCAATATGTCCAGATTGAAGCAGCATTCCGGAACTCTGAAATCGCCAAAGAAAGGGGACGAAGTCATTTGCTGCTCACCGGCTAATTCATGCTCAACATCATTAGATAGTAGGATAATCCACAAAACATTGTACTCTTGGCGCTAGGCAATCGACGTAGATTTACTTTCATGAATACTTTTCTGTTTCCACATAGAGCCAGGCACGAGCTCGTTCTCGTTCTGCCAACTGGGCTGACACACTTAGCCAGGTCAGCAGCGGTGAAATTTCTGTCCATTCACAATTTATGCACGAGCTTTGAGAGTGCGTGGCACTGTGAAGCACTTCGTAATACATTCTCACATGAATAACATATTAATAAATCTTCTACTCTGTTAGAATATGAAGAGTTTATTTATAGTCATATGAGAGGAAGATCTATGTAAGATCTAGATATGATGAAGTTATCCGTTTCTTATAATTCGATTCACGAAACTCTTAAGCAATATATTGCTAGGACTTAAATATCTCTATATGTGACTTGCTTAGCTTCATCTCAAATTTAGCTAGGATCGCCAGCACCTTTTAATTGATCTAGCCAATAGTCAATTAAAGGCAAGATCTACATTTTTAGGTAGGTCAAGATATAATTGGAACTACGAGATGATCCTTTTTCCTGCAATACTAAATTCACGAATCTCTTGAACTAAATATCTCTTAAGATTTCATGGAAGGTGTTCTGTAAATCACATCTGACTTGCTTAGCTCAAGTTTAAATAGAGCTACGTTCTCCTGCACATTTCAACTGCACAAGACCATAGCATGATCTCTACATATACCTAAAGTAATTTTCACTTGGCATCACTTCAACAAAGTATTTCCGAGACTATAGCTCGTATCTCTGCTTAACTTTATCTCGACTTCCGCTCTGTTCGCCTGCACTTTTTATATGTATTTTGTTTTATTTCATTTCACTTGGCAACGTTTCGTGATTTTGGTTCAGGCCCCAGCTCATACAAATGTGCGCCTTCTGTGTAAAGAGACAGTTGGCTCCAATCGCGTGTACTCCAGCGACGTGAAAGAAACAAAGCCGTAAGTGAAATACGGCGGGAAGGAAAGATTCAAGTGTTTGCTGCCGTTTTGACTGCTGACGTCGTTGACGGCAATTGCGATGGCGACTGCTCTGGCTGGATGCTCGTGTCATTTTGTGGGAATTGCAAATTAGCGTGGATTGCGCACTTTGCCGAGCCGACAAACGAGGGGGAGGCTGAGGCTGGAGCTGGGGCTGGGGCTGGTGCTGAGGGCATGTCAAGAAATCGGCCAGACAAATACAAACAGGAGCGGCAGATAGTGAGAAAGAGAGAAAGAGAGTGTGGGAGAGAGAGCACTTGTTTGACATCGTGCTATACAGGTGCACGAATGCGTCAGGTGTGGCATTAGCAGCTGTTGACACACATCTCATGGCGGCGTACAACATGTCGTATAAGTATTTTAATTAAGCATCAAGGGGACGCTCAAAAACATTGCCTCAAGTTGTTTTGCGTCGAGTCGCGTTTTAATTAAGATCCACTAAACTAAGACAGCCCCCGCAACGGCGGCCGGGGGCAGAGGGGCAGACAGAACTTGAGATGCGCTGGCAGAACGGAAAGTTTTCATTTAAGCTAAACTCGCAGCACCAAATTTAATTTACTTTGTGCAAAAACTTGCGGCAGCAGCTGCGCCAACACCAGCGCAAAAAAACCAACCCATACAAGCATACACTCTCTGTGTGTGTGTGTGTGTGTGTGTTACACATACGCCCAGTGTGACGGCATGGCAATAACGCTGGCTGTCCTGAAATATCAGTTACCACGCCCACGGCGACAGGTGGCGGCCGCGGCGCGAACAGCGCCAACGACATGCAAAAAGTACAGGACCGTCAGGTCCGACAGTTTCCGTTGCTGCCAAAGCCCTCGCTCGCTCCGTCGAATGGCAAGCATTAAAATGCCTTACAAAAATATAAATACACACACACACACACACGCACATCGAGTGGATTGTTATATTTCACGACTGCCTTAGCCCGCAGTCGCTACACAATTTTATTTATCTGCAAGTACTAAAGAATATGCTCAGCCTGGGAATGCGCCGGGAGCAGCCGCAGAGCGCTGCGCAAATATATGTGCGAATTTATTTTCGTACGCGTTTGCCGAAACAAGCCATAAAAAATAATGCGAATGCTTTGTAAACTGCATGCAAGAGTTGAGCGAGCCCCCAAATAAATTTAAAGGTATATTTGCCGGGCGAATGGATCTATGTTTAGGTATTATTACATTCCCTAATTCCTCATTAGTTATTTATGGCTTTTTATAAATATTTAACTACCGGGATGATCGGTGACTTGATTTTGTGAACAAATATCTATTTTAATCTTTTTAAAATTAACTAATTTTTTTGAATATTTAACTGAAGTTGAAATTTTGAAGAATTTTTTAATTTTTCTGCTGAAAATCCAAAGTGATTTTTGTTTGTCTAATCAAAAAGAAAAAATAGATAAATTAATTAATTGATTAATAAAAAAGTAAAAAAGAAAAATAAAGAAATAAATAATCATAATTGTCTAATAAAAAAGAAAAAAAATAAATAAATTAATTAATTGATTAATAAATAAATAAATAAGGAAATAAAGAAATAAATAATAAATTAATTAAAAAATTAAATAAATTAATAAGCAAATAAATAAAAAATAAATAATTTAGTAAAGAAATAAAAAACAAATAAATAAATAAATAAATAAAAATTAAATAATTAAAAGTTAAATAAATAAATATGTTTATGAATAAATAAATAACTAAATGCAAATTTAAAAAAATTCAAAATTTAATAAATAAGAAAATAAATAAAGAAATGAATTTATAAATAAATGAAAAATTAAATAAATAACAAACTTAAATTAAAAAAAAAATTAAATAAATAAATAAGTATATAAAATAAATAAATAAAATTGTTAGAATGTCATCAAATAGATGAACATATGTATGCTTTAATAATCATATATTTTAACTTCATTTAACAACTATAACTAGGGTTGCTCAATAATCTCGTGGTTAATTTTGAATCCCAAGCTCCAAGCTCGAATAAAATTAAAGAATAAACTCAAGCCCATCATAAGCATTAAGCCACAAACCAATCCATTCCATTCCCTTCCCCTATATCCGCCACAAAACTCAACCACAGCAGACCGTGGGGTATTAAAAATGGCATTTAATATGCATTCATTAATTCAGTTTTTAAGAAAAAATAGGCAAATGGCATTCATATGAAGCCACATTAGAGACGACGACCACGACGGCCGCCATTGCGTGCGTCCGAGCGACACCTGCACCTCCCCCTTCTGTTGCTTAGCCTTGCCGAGCGAGAGATTAATCGAAGGGAAGTTTAAACTTGATTTAAACTCAATTTACGCTTAATGCAAATATAATTTGTGCCTTACTCAAATCAGCTCTTCACTTATCAATACTGAGAAATCGGCGGGGGGAAAATGAAATGAAATCCATGAGGCAAATATTGCAATGCCAACTTCGATGGCTGCCTTACGCTTTAATAGCTCTATTCTGTAAGATGTCATATTAACAGTGCAGTTGTTGTTCGTATTTATCTGTAGATTCTTACGCTCCTTCCATTTGCCATTTGCCATTTGCCGTTGCCATTGCTATTGCCATTTGCCCTTTGCCCTTTGCCATTGCAAGTCAATCAAGGCGCAAGGACGACGAATCGATGACTCCAAGTAAGCTGAGCTGGCATTCAATTGAATTGTGGGCGTTGTTCGATTTCTCACAAAACTTTGCCGGCGCCTCGCAGATGCCACTGCTCCAGCTTCAAATCCACTCCTCCCTCCTCTCCTCTGCTCTGCTGTGCTGTTATTACATTTGGCTGCCACACGGCAGACAATTTCATTTAATCGTCTTGCAGTTTGTGCGGCATTTATGGATCAATTGACAAGCCAACCCAACCAGAAACATTAGCAACTGCAATTTATTGTGCTGCTGCCTGCCTGACAAAATGTAAACAAGCGCATAAATTTGCATATGCAAGCAATGCGCCCCAACTATCACAGAAGAAGCACATTAGCTGTGTGCTCTAATCGAAATTGATGCGTTTTGAGAGTCGAGAAGACGCAAGCTCAAAAATCAACACTGGACTACAAGGTTTTGTTTTCGAAATAGTGGTTGGCTGACAAACATTGTTTTATTATAAGCAATATTTGTATTCATAAAGATATGCATAGTCGAAATTTTTAACTTAAAAATATAATAATAAACTAATAAAAATTTTAGGTATTGTTTTTTATTTATTTATTTTGTTTACTTTTTTATTTTATTAAAAAAATTCTTTTCTATGGAAATATCTTCAAATTTTAATAGAACAATTTAACATTAATTACGTTTATTCTTTTAATCTAAATTTGCAGCAATGTAAAGATGAATTTTAAAAAACTATAATAAATTAAAAAAATAAGTAAATAAAATATTAATTTGAACAAATTCGAAAATTGATCGTCAATAATTTATAATATAAAAAAATTTTATCAAATAAAAAAATATGCAATCTATTTGTTGAGCTAAAGTTTTTCTTTTAATATATTTTTTAAAATTAAAAAAAAATATAATAAAAAATAAATATTTGTTTTTATTAATTATTGAAATTTAAAAAATATTATATATATTTTTCATATTAAGTTTAGATATTTTAATTTTGCGTGAAGAATATTTTTTAATTATTACTAAGCAAATAATTTTTTATTTCATTAAATAATGTCCCTTATTCTAAATTTGCAAATATGCTCATTAATGGTATTATTTAAAAAATTGTTCCTTCACTTTTGTTCCTTCCCGTTTGTTAATGTCGCTGACTGCACTGCGTATACGTAATATTTGTATTTAACTGTTTTACAGCTGAATAAATATGAAAAGTTGTATTGAAAATTTATGCATAATCTTCAAAAAGCTATTAAAATACCTGATAAATGTCCGTAGCGAGCTTAACGCATTTTCATTTATTTATTTCTTTGATTTTGAGTTATTTATAGTAAAAAGCGAATCGTTGCTTTATATTGTTTACTTAAAATATATTATTTGTGAGCTGTTCAATTTTTTCTGTTTAATAAAATGTTTAATTACAATATCATA